TGCATTAGAGTGACGTTAAAATTTATCTACAATAGAAATGCTTCATATACCTGATACAAAAATTCTGTATCAGATTACAAATTTAAAGCTCCTGAGTAGTCACCACAGCCATATTGAATCGTGACGTCAGAAGTGAGAAATGACACGTTAATTCTTATTACTATTTGTAAATAAAGACAATTTAGATGGAACGAGATGATGAGATCGCTTTAAAATAATTGTAAAAGCGGACGAAAGCTTATCCTCCCCTGACAGTAAATAATTATAAAACGTGATAAAAGGTACATGTGTTTTTATTCAATGCGCATGCGTAGCCTATTTTCACTTTCACATAGCCTTTTATCACTTTTTATAATTCTGTCCATAATTTAATTTAAAGATTTCTATAAGCAAAATTACTGCTGTAATAAATTCTACTGCTAATACCTAATACCGATTTATTCAATTTTAGATTTTAAATAGGACAAAAATACACCTCTGTGAAGCTGGCCATATTTTTTCCAAAAATTGAAAAAATAAGTAGAGTTCTGGTTGCCCCCCCAAGAGTTCTAGAGTTCTCTATCAATTTTAGAAATAGTTCCGTCGATTATAGGGGTGAAAACACCATTTGAAATATCGGGGGAGGGGGCCAACTTCACGATTCCGAAACTTTGAAGGGCTATAACTTCTTTAACATTCATTTTAGAACTTTCATATAGAACAATTGATAGAACTCTTTGGGGGGCAAACAGAACTCTCAAGAAAATAATGGATTTCCAAAAAAAAAATTTTCAAACAAAATTAATTATTGCAAAAAAAAACCTTTTTTTAGATTTTCGGCATCCTGTAATGAATTCTGACAACCCCCCAAAGAGTTCTAACGATAATCCTTAATAATGAAACAGCTGAGATCGAAAACAAAAAAGTTCTAGCGCCTTGAATAGAAAATTTCAAAAGTTGAAGCTTCAAAGTCCTAGAATTTTTTAGATATCGGTTTCAGCGTATCGGTTATTAAGGATAATCGTTAGAATTCTTTGGGGGGCTGTCAGAATTCATTACAGGATGCCGAAAATCTAAAAAAAGATTTTTTTTGCAATAATTTTGTTTGAAAATTTTTTTTTGGAAATCCATTATCTTCTTGAGAGTTTCTGTTTGCCCCCCAAAGAGTTCTATCGATTGTTCTATATGGATGAAAGTTCTAAAATGAATGGTAAAGAAGTTATAGCCCTTCAAAATTTCGGAATCGTGAAGTTGCCCCTCCCCCCTCCCCCCGATATTTCATAGTGTTTTCACCCCTTTAATCGACGGAACTATTTCTAAAATTGATAGAGAACTCTAGAACTCTTGGGGGGGCAACCAGAACTCTACTTATTTTTTCAATTTTTGGAAAAAGTGGGGCCAACTTCACAGAGATCAAAAATACACAAATGTTATAGACATGGAATAGTAGACAATCAGACATTGTAACAGTTATTTATAATCACAATACATATTCAACCTCAACTTTATTATATGTTCACGACTTATTGTCGTCATTGATGAATGAAAAAAAATTCTCAATTTCATGACGGTCATGGTCTTGACACTTAATTAAAGCAACATAGCGCGTCGTAATGCGACGAATTATGATCGTTTCTTTACAATGGAACTTCTGTTATTTATTCGCATTCAATTTCTCAGCTATAATCCACAAATGAACATATTTTTTAATTATTAACAAACAAAAAATAAATTGCATATGAACTTTGATTGCACAATAAAAATGTAACTACACATATGCAAGCGTACGCATTTTTAAAGATGTAAATGACATAATTTAAAGAAGTTGCGCGTCGAATGACAATTATGATTATTAAAGATAAAAAGGGACACATGGTGGGGCTGAAAAAATGTTTCTCATATCATGGTGGGGATAAAAATATGTTTCTGAAGTACAATAACAGTCGTCGAGCTATGTCTAGTTCTTACTCAACTACGGTTTGTGTTGGATACATTTTTACTATCGTGATTTGGATATACGTTTCCTTTCATTTTTAGTGAAATTATTTAGTCGTATTAATCGCGTTCAAAAGCCAAACGAAAGCAGCTTAAAAGAAAAGAGGAATTAAAAAGGTTTGAAAACACACTGTCGTTTATCCACAAATTTTACAAAGAACTAATTTTCTATGAAGAAATAACTTCACAAGTACTTAACTTAAATGAATTTGATTATTTATTCATATTAAATATTTTGTTAATTTTCTAATATGTGTTTATAAATAAATAGTTACATACTGTATAAATTACTGGGAGTAATTAATCTTTTTCTTTTCTGATGATTTGTAAACTATATTATTAAAAATTATACACTGAAAAAATATCTTAACTTAAAATAAATTTTAATGGATTTAAAAAAATAATTTTTTTTAATACGCGAGCAATAACAATATTTATTTGAATCTTGTAGTTTATTATGTAAATTAAAAACATTTTTTTTGAAAAAATGTTTTTAAATAAAAAAAGATTAAGATTTACCTAAATTACTAAATAAATTTAATATTGTGTAAATCTCTCAAATTTTAAAATAACATACAAATAAATAAAAGTAAGGCTAATAAGAGTCAGCGTGGCTAATCGGCGCAAATTATTATGAAAAAATTAATACTCAGTAATTAATATATGAAGTGTTCTTTATTTGAATTCATCTTTGGTAATTTATGACTTGATTTTTATGGATGTGAGCTTTCGATTCCACTGTATCTACATTGCTGAAGAGGACTCCAAAGAGAGTTGAAACGTTCAAATAAAAAAGACATCATACTAACTACTGAGTATTAATTTTCCCATAATAATTTGCGCTATTTAGCCGCGCTGACTCTCATTGGTCGTGCTGTTATTTATTTGTGTTATTTTAAAATTTGAGAGATTTACAATATTAAATTTATGTATGTTATTTGAGTAAAGAAAAAGCTTTTGGAATAAAAAACAAATATTATTACTTGTCAAAGTTAACAAATGATCGCACGTGAATGCGATTGAATATTTATCTTTATGCATACGTTTATGCGGCTATACATATATACAAGTTTATCTGGATACGGATTAAATCTGCATTAATTATTATTATTATATTGAATTTACCGGTTATGGCATAAGTTAACAGTTTACGGCCAGTATAAATACTTCTTGAAGCTACTGAACTAATGAGCATCTTATGTAAATCAATATTGTGTATTTATACCAGATACTCATTAGTCCAATGACCTCAATTTTCTGCGTGATGACTTAAAGTTAGAGCATAGATTTTTGTATAATGCGTATAATAAGAAAATCAACCAATTAGTCTTTTATTTCGTAAAAAGAAGGAAATGAAGGACTTTTCTTATATATTATGCATTATGCAAGACTCAGTGCTCCCGCCCTTACCCAGATAACCAAGCGTGATTAATCATATCGAGCAAACTAATACACTACACGAGTGTTGAATAATTGTTGTTTGTTTGCCGTCATCATATCAAGTATTGTACTGAACAACATGAATAATTATACAAGTATTTAGTTGATGAAATTTTGAAAGCAAGCAGTCAGAAATATTAGTATAATATGTTACCAGCAATATGACGACAATATGACGATAACTGATGATGAGAAAATATACTAATATCAACAAATTAGTCAATTTCCTGTAATCTGATGTCGAATTCATGTGAGTACATGTTGACAACCTAAGACGCACAATGACGAAGCACGGCTTGAATTTCTAGAAATTGGTTGCTTCAACGGTTGTCAGCAACATGACGGCAACCTCAGAGGCATTTGGCTATCTGGGATTTGGATATATCCAAATAAACTTGCATAGCCGCATAAATGTATATATAAAAAATTATCCAATCGCATTTACGTGCATCTTTATAATAGAAGCTGAATAATTTTCTTTAAGCATACCTTTATACGGTTATGCATGTTTGTCTGGATAGATCGTAACAGTTACAAAAAACAAATTTAGTAATGATATAATTTTATAAATAAGTTTCAATTGATTGTCATAGACATAAAATAATCAATAGTTTCCAGCTTCAAAAAGGATTAACCAGTTTCAAAAAGGATTAACCATCGCTAAAAAGGTATGAATGCAAATAATCCAATGTCGAAATTCTGATTTCCTACAAAAGTCGTTCACACGATTGTTATTTTTGCCGATATCGATTTGCAATCATTATAAATCGTTTCGCAACTGACTGAAACTTGCAGTTAGTGCCGACATCAATTTTCCGCGCATCGACACTCTTCGTGGAATGGATTGTTTCTTAGTTGTTAATTAGAGCGTAGTATTATGTAGAAAAAAAAATACGCAGGTAATAGCTATTTTAATCGTGTACACAACATACGAAAGGTATCTATAAGCGAATGACGTAGATGGCAGACGTTGTAACCAAGCGGAAGTACTTCCAAGCATGGTCGAGTTCGTGCATCAACACTAAATTAATTAACATATTCTCGTCAAGATATTTGGTTTATGAATATCAAATACGTTATTCACAATTAGCTATATGGAATTCTTCGACTATTTATGCCACTATTTCTTCCAATTTTACATGTAATTGTATTATCATACATAATATTATGTCAATTTGCAATTATTGTTTTCTGTTTAATTTCTTGATAACGTTTTTTAAACTTTTACTTAATTTAATTTAATTTAATTTCTTATTAGAATCAAATAAAACTGAAAAGAACTTGACATATACAATCTAATTAAAATTATATTATAGATAAACAGGAATTAGAACATCGATTATACGAAATCTTATATGTATAAATCTACTTAATATCATATCTACGAAATCGTTGGCTGAGAAAATATTTGATAATTTGTTATGGCGAAATTCAAGTACTTCAAGTTTTCTATCTCTATATTCTTTTTGCAAAGAATATAGAAATAGAATTGATGGTTAAATGATTCTTAGCCAGTGATCACCTGCCTTGCGTAGGTAAGTTCATCCCTAAAATAAAATGTAAGAGGAAAATTCTGTCACACTCACCTAATCCCATATCTCGGAATATTTCCTTTGGCGCGATTTCGATTTCTTGCTTCTTACTGATTGGATGAGAGGAAACGTGATCAGTTTCTTTGGGCTTTGATATTTCGCGCCGTTTGATATTCTCCTGTTTCGATTCGGCTGTCTGCTGCGGCAGCGGCGGTGACGGCTTCGTAGCCTCCGCGATTAAGAAGTCACTCGATGTTTCGTACGCGTCCTGATGTGCCTTCTCCAGGAGCTGCGCTTCCTTAGGTAATGGAGGCAGCGGTTTCGTTGGCGGTTCGAATATATTCGCCTGTTCCCGCTTCAGGTCTATTTTCTCCATCATGTTCCATGAGTCATCATCCGTAATATTCTTAACTTTGTTCTCCCTCAATAACTCGCTGTCATCTCCAAGGAAGTCTATCAGTGGTGATTTTTCCGGTGCCGGTAGCATCGACGATTTGATGTTTTGCATAAAATCGTCGGTGCTGCCCAGCGGAGTGACATCACGCTCATATTGTTTTCCATAATCGGTAAACAGCATATCCTCGCGTTCCTCGATCGGTTGAACCTTGCTGTCAACAGCTTTCATCGACGATGACAGTAAAAGGTCGCTATCAGCTTGAATGGTCGAAGTCGCGGTCGAGGTCGATAACAACGGCGGTTGGAGATGTATCTCTTCCTGCTCGTTGTCGTTGTCGTGGTCATCGTCATCGTGAAGTTGGTGATGATAGACCCGCTCGGTCTCGACGAATGTCATGCTGGCTAGCTTGGGATCGACCGGATCCAGCGGCTGCTGGAACGGATCCGACGACTGCGCCATGGCCGCGCACTTATCGAAGTCCGCGGAAGGCGGCGGTGTCGCCGGCATGGCTTTTGCTTCGGCGTCAAAAAGGGCGCTGGACAATACCGAGTCCAGTGGATGAAAAGAATCGCCGATGTGCAGCAGATCATCGACACGTGGCGCGTCAATTGGCTGAGGTGGCGGTTGATGCTGATGCTGTTGCTGTTGCTGTTGCTGTTGCTGCTCCGAACGATCGTCTGGAGAGCCGTCGTGGCCAAGATGCTCGAAATCGTCAACGGAATCGTGATCCCTCTTAAGGAGGACGTCGTTAAGGTCGTCCTGAAACCGCGGGTCCATCTTCGGGTTTACTTCGAGATAAGAACGATTTGTGTGCTTGACGATGACTCACTGGATCTACACGAATTGGCCAGTAGCCGTTAGAGCTTCGATCCCCACACGATGTCGGTTGCGCGGAATATTGCGCGACGCTCCCTACTCTCATAAAAGTCAGATACGAGGAGCGGCGCTACTCCCACCTGCCGCTGCTGTTGTTGGTGCCGTCGCAATTCTTCAGTGGGGCACATCCGATGTCCTTGCTGTCCTGACTCACCACTACCTTTAGTCACTGTTAGTCACCACTGTTGACTGTCTCTCGCGCCTCTCGCTATACCCTCTTTTTGTCACTTCACGAAATATGCGCGAACGCTCACAAGTACCAACTACCTACCACTACCTACTTACTTGTCATATGCGCAATCATTGACCAGCTGACGGAATTAAGGACGACGAGAAGCGTGACGGGGCAAAACCTTAGTAGGGTAGAAACTGGAAGAAATCTAACCGCGAACTGTGTGAAATGCGAAACGGTAACGTTGAAATCTCACAATCAGTATTCAGCTAAACATAGGTTGTGCTTGAAACAGGTTGTGTTTGATCGACGTAGACGGGTGGATTTGGTCGTCATGAGATGCACTTCCCTCGCGAAGGGGTTGCCCTCTCCCGTTGCTCTGATAGTGAATAACGCGAACCAATCGCGCGGATGCTATCCATCCCTACCATATCCAGTATGCCGAACTGAGCAGCAACCGTTGCGTTTGATTTTTACCGTTCGTTTCACCGACCAAACTACAGGGCCCCCCCCATTGTTGAAAAGAAACGTATACGAACAACTAGGAAAATACTATAATACACGTTACGTATACTGTAGTATTTACGGTATTTACCTAGTTTTTTCGTATACGTTTCTTTTCAAGAATAGGGGCCCAGATAGGTGTTATTACGATCAGTGACTTAACTGCATTGCGCACCGAAATTTTGGAGGTGGTCGCAAGCACCGACGAGATACTATTAAAGACGGTCCTAGGAAAATTTTCGTGACTAATTAATGGGGTCCGGGGATAATTAAAGAATGATGACATTATCAATAATTGATATAAATTTGCGATTATTAACATAGATACTTGAATAATATATTATGATATTCGTAATTTTTTAATATATAAATGCTACATAAATAAATATGCATATTTGTAATGCTATATCTCACAATTTATTACCATTCTCGAATTTTGCATTGTATAAAATTAAATTAGCTCAGAAATTTATAAAAGTAAACTTCACCAAAAATTAATTATCACTGCTTTTCATTTGATGACGCAAATCGACACAAGCGTCGTTCTATCCTTCTTGACATTCAGAGAGTGACAAAGATAGAACGATACTTGTGTCGACTGTGTCTCTTAAAAGGAAAGCAACCTATAAGTAATTAATAGAGAATATTATTATCTATGTACCAGGTGTTTCAGATCACCCCATTTAAAAATGAGAGAAATGGTTATTTCGAAAAATGTTTCAAATAAATGTTGGGGATCAAGTAATGCATTACATGGGCATATGTGATTATTCGCTACGTTTACACCGTATGGTAGTCCGCGACCTATACGATAGGTGTCTTTGGCTACGGTTACACCGTGCATTTAGGCCGCGGCCTATACAATAGACGTCTTTGTTTATCCTGTATATTAAACAAAGACACCTATCGTATAGGTCGCGGACTAAGCGCACGGTGTAAACGTAGCCATTGACCTTGGGAGGCGCCGTGAAGGTCATGTCGACTTGAATCGTTTAAATGGAAACCTATATCTTTTATTGCATATTCTTGTAGCTGACATCAAGATGTTTTCAAAATACTGGTTACAAACCCTTTCTAGTCGAGATCCTCCTGAGTTACGAGACTTCAAAATTTCAGTGCCGGAATTAGCATTATCCAAGATGTACTGTGTGCAGGAGGTCGCACGGTCGCATTTACACCTCTTCGGGATGCTTGAATATAGGTGCACTTTACACATCCGTATTCAGCCCGAGAACTAGTCGGTTGTGTAGCGTTGTGTCGACGATTACGGCAATTGGTGCAATTGAGTGCAAATCGGTTTTCATATTTTCAGTGCTAATAAATAAATTCTTTTAAGATTATAAGGTATCATGACAAAGAATATGTAATTAAAAGGGTTAAATTGTTTATTAATACTGAAAAAATGTGAATTAATTTGCTATGTTTGTATCAAGATGTGTTAAATAATTGGAAAGTACCCATACACAACCAACACGCACACACACACGCACATACGCACAGTATAACCAGAAAGAAACCTGAGAGGCTGAGAGCGGCCATGTCCGGAATTTAGCTGTCACCTTGTTTTGAAGCGCCTCTATGTTCACAAGAGGTGGACATTGAACGTAGCCAATGTCAATGATCCTGTCGATAATGTCAACAATTTTTTTATTCTATTCCATGCTATTTCCGATTTTTAATTTCGATCCGTTAAATAAACAAAGATGGACAATGGGCGAGTTCAAGCCGCCAAAGCGGCCAGACCATGATGTAATAAAGAAGAGGTGTGCTGTTGCGCAAGAAGATGATTAACCAATGAGGTGGAACAAGTGACCGGCCATATTAATATATCAGCCAATCAGTGTTTTTTCTGAGATACTCAAAATGTAGTATAATTTAAATAAGGAAATGACAATTAATGACTTTATTTTGTTGAGCACTATTGTGACTTTATTATTAATTATTATTAATAATAATTTAATAATAATTATTATAAATCCCTTCTAGTT